CCCCCTTACTATTTGTACTAACCTTTGGAAGGCATGTATGGAAAGAGAGAAGATAAGAGAAAGTGTTGGTGTTGGAACATGGGAGGATGAGAGAAGAAGAGGAAGAAGAGGAAGAAAGAGGAGAAGAAGAAGAGGAAAAAAAAGAAGAAGAAGAAGACGAAGAAGACGAAGAAGTAGAAGAAGAAGAAGAGGAAGAAGAGGAAGAAGAAGAAGGAGGAGAAGAGGAAGCCTCTCCTTCTCTCCACTAACCTCCTCTTGGGCCTTGGAGTTGATGTACCATTCTTGGAGTTGCTCCTCCCTACTTGGCTATGGCTTCCTTCTTCCTCAAGACCTTCTCCCCTTCTAAGTCTCCCTCAAGTTACAACAAGCTCCTACCACTATGGCTATGAAATTCTCCCCTCTAGGAATGAGACTCTCTTTAACCTTGCCTTCTTCCTCACAGCCTGGGGCCATGGCGGACCGCCCTCCTAGGCCAGCCTCACTACCACTAGCCTCTAGAGCTCTTCACACTAGCTCACAGTGTCCTCTAAGCTCTCAAACTGCCAGGGGTTCCCCTCTCCTCATTCCAAGTGAGAGAAGTGCTCCTATGAGCTCACTTGGGAAGCATGGGCACACCTCATGCAAATGTGAGTGTGGTGGACTGAATTTTCAGCTTATGTAGGTTGAAACCAGCACTCCGGCCAGCTCATGGGCCTCCCCATGTGCCTTGAGGTGAACCGAGGTACCCCCAAGGCAAAAATTCACCACTAGGCCCTTTCGGGGGTACTCGGACCTTATTTTGGCCAAGTACATGCAGTCCGAGTGGTTGGTACCGACTCGGATTGCCTCTTGGCCTCCTCCAGCCTCTTTTTTACTCCCAAAATGCTACCCGCTTGAGTCCAAACGCCCAAGGGGCAGCCTTACTTGAGAGAAAAAAAACTAGACGGTATTTTTCTCGATTTTTTCAGTTTCAACCTCATTTTTGGTAGGCCTGGTATTTACCCATGCCTCGGTGCCTTTTCAACCTTGGATCTGGTTGAGATCCAAGTCCCACAATATTCCGTGTCACCCCTATATATTCCTTGCTTCAAATTTGAGCCCCTAGGTTCACTTTTTCAATTTTTGGTGCATCTGGCCTTCTTTTTTGGCCAAGTGCACAATTTTTTTTTTTTTATTTTTTTTTTCTTTCATTTTGGGCTGCCTTATTCCGGAGTTGGCCGTTTGGGTAGGCCTATAAAAAACGACCATATTCCCTCGTCCATGGATCTGAATCTCAGATCCATGGACCAAAAAAAAAACGGTCATTTCCCTTTTGTATTTGTTTTAATTTTGTGATTTTTAATTCAGACATTGTAGAGATAATGCCCCAAGGGCCATATCTCTGCAATCCGGATTGCCCTCCACTAATTATGGATGGATGAGGTTACAGTAGGGACCTGCCAGTCCTTAGTGTGCCAGTCCCAATAGGCCGGCATATTTTCCTCCACTCTTTTCTCCCCCTTTGTCTCATTCCTCCTCCATTTTCTCTTTTTTTTTTTTCCTTTCTTTTATTTCTGATGTGACAAGTGTCAAGTAGCTGTTGAGTCTTTTTCTAGGCCATGGATCCTCATCCACGGCCAGATTCAGACTCAGCAGTTAGCCGTTTGGCAGCCCCATGCTCCTAGGGGGCTCCATTTTGCCTACGTTAGTCTCAATTTTGGGCCCCTTTTGCTCCGATTTTCTTTTGACAACCTTTTTTCTGTGTTGAGCCCCTTAGGGCTCTATTTTCGCATGCCTAGCTAGTCCGACATATCTCGGACTGCTGGGCAACCCTTCCATCATCATTATTTTGCTTTCTTTTCTCTCACGGCTCTCTCACTTGACTCCACTAGTGCTTGCACTAGTGGTGCTAATATTTTCCACCATCTAGATCTCGATCTTGACGGTGCCGTTTGTTTGCGTGACCATTCCTCATGTTGGCTCATGGTTACCTAGGGACATCTCAAGTCCTCGCCACTCTCTCGTACGAGTCTCATTTTTTTTTTTTTGTCCCGTGTCCTGTTTTTCGATTATTTTTATTTGGGCCTATTTAGTATTCGACAACGTTCCGGATGACGTTTCATTTTTAGTTTGGAACCTCCTTGTCCTTGGTGGTTCCAATATCCCTTCCTCAAGTGCCCTATGCGTGTCGATTATTCTTGGCCGCGAGATCTTATCTCACGGTTGCCGTTTACCGTCTTTAGTTGCCCTTGTGCTGAAATCACTTTTTTCTAGCCTTTCGGGTTTGCCATGACCCATTTTTCCTTGGCATAGGCATCCTTATGCAGTCCGTTATTTCTCAAACTGCAACTGTGGCTTTTTCCCTAGTCCCACAACCCCATAACTTGCCCCAAGTTGAAGGAAAATAAAACTCTCAATTTTCAAGTGCATTCGGGCTCAATATTGGCTTCGGATGCACCGAAAACTTGTGTTTTCCTTTCCTCATGGAGTTTGTTGTAACTCGGACTGCAATGGGGGTTTATTTCCTAGCCGCATTGCCCCACAACTAGCCCATAACTGAAGGAAAAATAAACGGTTAACTTTTAAGTGCATCCGGGCTCAATATTGGCTTCGGATGCACATAAAACATGTGTTTCTCTTCCCCCATGCAATCCATTGTATCTCGATTGCATGGGACCTTGCTTTTCCTTGATTTTCTCTGCAAAATTAGGAAAAAATCAAGATCCCTTGCAACCGCCATATTCCAGAATGTATCTGGTCACGGATGCATCTCCCCAAGTGGCCGTTTTTCACCGTTAGGACTTTTTTCTCGTTTCTTTTTTTTTCCCGTTTCTTTTCTTTTCTTTTTCCTCCTTTCTTGGACAGTAGGGATCTGCCAGTCCCTACTTGTGGCAGTCCCTACTGACGGCCAACTCACTCACTTCCTCTCACTCTTTTTGTCTTGTTCTCCTACGTTTTTTTTTTTTTTCCTTTATTTTCTAGCATGCCAAGTGTCAAGTGGTCGTTAAGGTTCTTTTCTAGGCTCCCCCTCTTAGTTTTGGCCCTTCCTATGCTTAAGGGGCAGTCCGTTATTTCTCGGACTGCAACTGTGGCCTTCTCATGCTCATGGGAGCTTCGTTTTACCTCTATTTCTCTCACATAGTAGCCCTTCCTACTTCGATTCTCTCCCGGAGGCCTATTTTTCACATGAAGTCTTTTTTGACTCTATTTTTTTTAGGGAGGCCGATCCGAGATTTTTCGGATTGCTCCCATACCTCCCACTTCATGTTTCTTTACTTTTTCGTTTCCTTTTGGCCCTCCTGTTTGCTACCACTAGTGTGGTGCTAATATTTTCGGCCGTCAAGATCTCGATCTTGACGGTGCATCTTGTTTTAATTGTCTTCCCCTCATGTCGCTTTGTCGTTCCTCTTGAGACCTTCCCATGTCCCCGCCACTTGTCCCGTCAGTGGTCCCCGACACTTTTGCCCCGTCCGTGGTCCTCGATACTTGTCCCGCTGGTGGTTCCCGACACTTTGTCCCGACTACCATTATTTTACTTAGTCTCACGTGGTCCCCAATACTTTTCCTCAAGGTGTCCCACGCTTTTTTGGCGACTACCGCGCTATGGTGATAATTTTTTCCTTGTCTTCTCTTGGGCTTTGCGCTAGCCGGTTTCTTCGGCCGCAAGGCCTCCAATCCGTAGTTTTCGTTAATTGTCGTAGGCGGCCCTCATGTTGGGCCCTTATTTTCTATCGTCCCACGGCCACCGGGCCGTCCCCCTCTCGACTTCCTTATTTTCTTGTCGTCCGCCGTGCCGCATTTGCAAAGTTAATGGCCCCTTGGCCTTCGTCGTGCCGAATTCCAATGGCCCTCCTGGCCCCATGCTATGCCCCTTTGCGCCCCTGTCCTGGTGCTTACTTGCTTGCTGTTGCCGATTCTCTCTCCCTGCGATTCTCAACCCAGGGCATCTTTGCCCCCGGCGGTCCCGTCCTAGTCCTTCGTCTTTTCTCTCTCTTGTCTCCTTATTGAGGATTTCTCTGTCGTGCACAATTTGGCTATATACAGGTTCTCAAGTGTCGGGGCGTTATTCGGGACCCACCGGTCCCGACAACGGCCTTATGAGGAAAGCTTCAAATGAACCTTCCCATGTTTTAGTGGAGAATTCAACTTTATTTTTATGCAATTGAAGAGTGGTGCAGTAGGGCCCGACGCAGTCAAAGAGTCATGCGCTGTCAGGTGGGCTATGGGGCAAAGGGCGTGAAACATGTTGAGTACTGAGCAAGAGTTGCTGACCTAAGGCGGTTGTTGATGTGTTTTTGACCAACATTTTTGGAGACTTCTCATCCCATCACCAGACTGTTGCACCTTGTTGTTGACATTGCAGTGCGTTTGGTCTCTACTAAAGTTGTCAGGTCATCCGCTATTGGGGGTACTGTAGTTCTCCGCAACAGACTCGGTTGTTGACTCGATTTGCTGCTTCTCGCAGTAGGGTGCAGCCGCTAGACACCGCTGCTTGCTACGACAAGCTGCTGTTATTTTGGGGGCAACCTCTGCAGCCGGCGTCTGTGCTAGTGTTATGCGCCAGATTGGTATTGCCGCTGTTTTCAACAGCGAAAGGCAAGTGTCACTGCTTCAAGAGGTGCCATTGTTGTTTAGCAAAGCTGCTGCTGCTATTTTCTTTTCAAGGCGTTGTTGTTCCCTCAGTTCAATAATTGTTGATTGTGGACGCCAGATATTGTTGTTGGCTGGTTTAGCTGATTGCTGCTGCTGCCAGGTTTAACAAGTTAGGGTTGACTGTGTTCGCTGCTGTACACACAACATTTGTTGAGTTGCCATCGTATTCAGTTGTTGATTGTGTACTTGCAGTACACTTGCAGGGCACTCACCGTGCACTTGACTAGGCTCCAGTTGGAGGTTTGCTGCACCTTTATTGTTGCACACGATTGCTGTGCGTGCAATGTTTTGTCAAGTTTGGCTGCTACCGCCCATATTTCGGATAGAGCACAGGGGTGCGCTCTATTTGAATGCGGTGTTCCTAGGATGCATAATTGCGTTTTAGTCAGAGGGCGGAGTATGGCGGTTTGAGGGTGTGGTCAGACCTCTGGAAGAGGGTTGCTACTGTGACTTGGAGGACCGTCAGAGGGTCGTCGCTCTGAGATTTGGCTTCAATATGACCATCTTAGTCGCGTATATGGCCGCCATTGCGGGGCCCTCAGGCGCATCAAGGTATCAAGGCCGTCTCTTGTGAGTTGAGTCAGTCCCTCTCTTGAATCTCGAGCGTATGAAACCCCTCCTTCTGCCCTTCTTACTCTAAGTCTAGTCTGTGGTTACGAGAGGAAGGCGGCAGGCGGGATTGTAACCCGTAGGACCACATCAAGACTCTATGGGGAGTCTTCCCACCGATTGCAGGAGCTCTGTCGGAACTCAGGAGGAGTTCTTGTGGCAGGGAACCAAAAGGTAATTCTTTGACTCCTTTTATAAACCCTTTCAAAACCTTTATGAGTACATCTCTCTATGAATGCTTGATTATACTGAATGTATCCCTACAAGTTTTTTGTTTTATTTTTCTGAACTAAGTCGGAATCAACCAAAGGAATGCATGCACAAATTTCAGTTTCCTTTTTCATTTGCTTGTCTGAAATCAGATTATGAAGGGAGTGAACAGGGGGAAGGTGGGAAAAAGGTAGTTTTGCTTGTAATGATTGGGTGTCCGTTGTTTATTTTTATTTCCCTTGCAGGCAAGCAATGTGGTTTCAGTCAGGCTTGACTGTCGTATTGTTTGTTTCCTTGACAGTCGCACAATGTGGCTTCGGTCAGGTCTGATTGTCATAGTCTGCCTTCATTCGAGGCCAGGTGTAGGAACGCAACAAAATTCCATAGGTTTTCTTCCACCCAAAATGGCCTTCTGTATCATGGCATTCCCCCAAGATCATACTTTTGATCTCTTCATTATTTGGTATACACAGCCTATCATTCACATCAGTTCGTTTGAACAATAGACCCTGAGTAACTTTATGATCAGGAAACTCTGTTGGTTTCTCTTGTACTTGCTTAATCATGGTCCCATAGATAGAATCAGAGGAATACGCCTTTCTAACCTTTTCTTGTAGATCAACACCCACATCTAAATAAGTCACAATAACACCGAAAAAGTCTGATCTATGACGTAGTGCATCAGCAACAACGTTATGCTTACCCTTTACTGGCTTTAGCTCAAAATTAAACATATCAATCTTCGCAGCCCACCTTGTCAACTTAGGAGTCATTCGAGCTTGCGTTTTGAGCCAGTGAAGCGTTTCATGGTCGGAGTATACCTTAAAATGCCTTCCCAGGAGATAGTGTCGCCAATGATTGAGAGCCTCACGAAGAGCATACAACTCTCTTTCATATATCGAGGCGGCCACTTTCTCATTAGGCAACTGGCAAGACATAAACTCCACAGGTCTGTATCCATGCCCATCGTCTTGTTGGAGTACAACACCTATACCATATTGACTCGCGTCAGTCGTGATTACGAAAGGTAATGAAGGGTCTGCCACTTTCAAAACCGGGTAATTGATCAAACACTTCTTCAGACGCTTGAAAAACATCGTGCAGTCTGAATCCCACTTCCAAATTACCTCTTTCTTAAGCAACCTGCGAAGGGGAGCAGCTATTATCGTAAAGTGTCTTACAAACTTGCGATAATAGTTGGCTGACCCAAGGAACGACCGCAACTCAGTCAAGGTGCGGGGGTTCGGCCAATCTCTGATTGTTGCTATTTTGGCATCTTCCGGTTTGACCCCATCTCCATCAATCACATGTCCTAGGTATAGAACCTGACGCTTAGCCCATTCGCACTTCTTTGGGTTTAATTTGAGTTTTGCTTCTCTTAGCTTATTTAGCACAAGTCGAAGGTGCTCAACATGCTCTTTTTCATCTTTGTTGAAAATCAAAATATCGTCTAGAAAGATAACAACAAATTTGTCAAGCCATTCACGAAATAGTTCGTTCATCGTTCTTTGGAAAGTGGCAGGGGCATTTGTTAGACCAAAGGGCGAAACTATAAACTCATAGTGGCCATACCTTGTCATGAAGGCAGTCTTATGTTGGTCTTCCGGCTCAACCTCAATCTGATGGTAGCTAGATTTCAAATCAATCTTTGAAAATATCTTACAACCCTGCACGCGATCCAGCAAATCATCTATTCGCGGTAATGGTTCAACATTCTTTACCGTTATGTCATTTAACCTCCTATAATTTATACACATGCGAACGCCGCCATCCTTCTTAGGCACAAAGAGCACGGGCGCACCATAGGGCGAGGAGCTAGGTCTTATCCATCCATTTTTCAACAACTCATCGAGTTGGGTTCGCAGTTCATCCAATTCCTGGGGCGGGGATCCGGGAGTGCTCGTGCAAAACTGTTTAAGATTTGGACCGACGTTTACCCATGATCAGGGCATTGCAATAGTTCATCCATAGTTGCCTTCAATGCAGAGGTACTCTTCCATTTCCTATCAGGAAGGCTGAGGATTAACATCTCAGTGCGTCTTGCTAAATTCTTATCCTCGAATCTTTCTCTTACGGCTTTGAGGAAATCTTCGATTCGCGTTTGTTGCGAATATTCTACCATGGAGCTACATCCCGCCTGTTTTTGCAGCGAGATGGCGAAGCTTATGGCATCGCCTCCCATGCATGAAGTTGCCATCAATACCCTGTCTCAGTATGGAATACGCTGTCCGTACACATATGTTTCGATTGCTGCCGCCCAATGCAGAACACTTTCCTCCTCCTTTCCATTATAGGTCCACGACAGTTTAAGTTTTATCTTGTTAACCTGCCCGGTTTCCTGTGAAGGTTTCTCCTTTGGATCTCTCCTTCCTTTCCCCTTCTTGTCAGCATCGCCATCGTCATTGCCATCTCCACCTCCGCCTCGAGCTCCCTTAACAATTTTTTCTATAACCTCCGGAGTGAAGGTCTTAGTGACATGTTCATCTAAGGCCCTGATGTAGGTTTGGACATGTTGGTCAACATCTTTGGCTGACTTTTCTAGGAAGTTGTTCCAAACATTTTCGAATTCAACCCGATGCGTTTCCACTCTTTGTATGGTCTGCCGCATTAAAGTTATGTCCTGCCTTGTATTGAGGACAGTTTCTCTGAGGAGAGCAAGTTGTTCTTCGGTCGCAGAGGGTTTATCCTTTTGAGCTTATAAAGCTTTCTGCAGTTTTTCCCCTTCTACCTGCAACCTTTTTCTTTCTTCCACTTCTTGCCTTCTGGCTGCTAGCATTCTATTGTTCAGCTCAACCCTCTTTTCCTCCATTAGCAGATTCCGTTCGATTGGGTCTGTCACAGTGGCCAACTTTGCGATGAACGTATGTTTTTCTTCTTCAGTTTCCCTTAGCGGTTCGCTGGAGTAATAGTACTAACCAGCCCAATCCAGTGGTTCAACTGGAAGTCTGGCCGCTGCAGTATCGCTACTCTCAAGTAAGTCCAGGCGACGACGTCTTTCCAAAACTTCTCCTTCTTCCTGTTCTTCTTCTTCTTCTTCCTCTCGTATACTCTTCAACTCTTCTTCCAATTCCTTATCCATCTTCTCTTTCATTTTTCTCTTCGCTTCCTCTTCTTTTTGTTTCTTTTTGGCTTCCTTTTCCTTCTTCTTCTCTGCCAGCCTGCGGTCAATCTCTGCTTGCTCCGCAGGTGTGGGCCTAGGCTTTACTGTTTCGGATTTCAATAACATGCGGGACGCACAGACGCGTCCGAATCCCAACGGGAACATTAACCGGAATATTGGGCCCAATAGGACAGAAAGGGCCAACAGGCCCTGGATGGGATAGTCATCCATGATGACGACCGACACAGGGGGTCTTCCGCCAGATCACCACAGTACTATCCCACTCCAGACTCAGTCTTGACTTGCGGTGAATGGAGTGCTACACTTTTTTTTTTTTAATTGACTGTAGAAGGTGCTGCGTACAATAAACAATAGATCAAACTGAAACAATGCTTACTGTTTGGATACGTATACTCTTTTTTTTTCCGTTGATATGCTGTCTGGCCCCCTGGATCAGATTCTTGGCAATGTGTTTCTGATGTCTTGCTCCCCTTTAATGCTTGGTTTATTACTAACGGGCTGGCTGTTTGGGTGCAGGTATGGAATATAGCGCAGAAAGGTCAGATGCAGATGGTTCCCCTAATCAACCAGGCAGAAATACTCTCAACCTTTACTTTCTTGCGGCTTAACAGGCCCTATAGAGGCTCATCATCATTCTTGCGCTGCTTGGGGGTTGCAATCTGACGTGGCCCATAGCCACTTCTTACTTCTGTGAGGATTGAGCCCTCAAGTAGGGGCCTTGCCATGTTGTACATGTTCTGGGCTAAGGCCCCAGCAAGCCTAGTGCCCGCCCTAAGTGAAGGCGGGCCAGCAAATCAACAAGAGTCCTCTCGGCCAACATTTCACGAAGTGGGGTCTATACAGTTGCAGCACGCCAGTTGGTTGGAGTGCACCGAGTCTCGGATTTCAGCAAATGCTGAAATGCCCAGGGCCTCTGAGTTAGTTAGGCCCTGGGCACTCGAACGTGAGGCCGACAATGCATGCTGGGTAGAGAGGCCGAAATGCCAAAGGGAAAATCGGYCCACTATCTGAATCTGGCCGCAGGCCTTGAGAAGARAGGCRCAACTGCATTGCTCKGGGGCCCAAYTGTATCAGGAAGGCTTCAGCCTCTGGGTCCCGGTYGCAGGMTGAAGGGAGGCCRCCCACATGCTGCATTGGCATATAGGCAAGCAGGGYGAGGCARCGGGGATCTTGGCCARTGCTGGCAYWTGCGGGCACGCTGCGCRGATGCAWGTGTGMWGCGCTRTGCARRGCAGYGCWGCGCTAAGASMRAGCAGGSCAGCGCTAGGCSGTAGGGCGCTGCCTGCRYKSAGGGCACTGGCGGCCATAGCCKGGSC